TTTGGTGTCACTTTAGTAGAATTAGCACAAGCCTTAGCATGTTGTTCCTGTAGGTTTGAATTGTTTCTCTGGTATCATTTCTCATCTGTGTTTTTCAAGTTTTCTGCATGTCTGGTTCCTAGTAATCCACAGGGAGACATAACCATGGATGCTGAAAGCTGACTTTGCAGAAAGCATGTTTCTTTTATCAGCAGTTATGTTCTACTGATGCCAACATACTGAATTGCTAAAAATGCACTGTATTTAATTACAATGAAGTGATATCCCAGCAAGCCTTTCTCTGGTAAGTATAATTTGTGTTTTTATTGTGAATAATTTCCCTAAATATTTTGGCAGTCTGCATGAGAACACAGCTAAGCGACGTTGACGCACTTTTCCTGTTTGGAGTTGGCTTGTTCTTGTACAGTATGCTTAATCTAATCATCATACCCTGACAGAGCATGGCATGAATGTGAAACCGTGAGACAGAAATCATTTAGGTCACACAAATTAGCAGTCTTCTCAGCCAGGGCTTCCCAGTTGCTAAAGGACTGCACTAGTGCCGTTTGTTTTCTCTTTCCATGAAAATAATACTTTTTTTCCACAATATCTTTTGTCACATGGATGGATGACTGATGAAATTTAGTGAAATTTAGTCTCTAAACAGATATGCTGAGAGGTTGTGTATATTATGCCAAACTGAAATATTTTCCTTTTTCCTAAGTGCTGTGGTGGTTTGAAAATGCTAGAGGAGTGAAACTCTGGGAAAGCAGTGTTTTCAAAATCAAAATTGACATTTAATTTGCATTCAGTGCAAAACTATGCAATGAAAATGCATCTTCCTCTACTTTCAGAATACTTAGATGTCTGTGTATGTTGTTCCTGATACTGATTTTTAACCTCAAGAAGATGCAGGCAAGGACCTAAGTTTCTCTCAGTAAGGTAGTATGAGTGGCGGGAGTTGAATGATGGTGCTGTGCTTCAGCAACATTTTGTCAGTTCGTGGGATGGTGAGAAGGCTTTATTTATTTATTTATTTATTTATTTTGACCAAGCATTTCTGTACATGTGTTGAGTACACCTTAATCTGAAAGGAATAATCTTCCATCCTACTGGTTCACCCACAATTTATACTAATCCTGTGTTGTCTAGCCATTCAGTCCTGCAGAGAAAAAGCCAATTTTGTGCTACCTCTGCCAGAAAAATTGTTAGTAAATCCTCTTCCCCTTTTGAGCTTTGTGCTTGGTTTCTCTAACGAGCTCTGGTGAGCAATAATTGCGTATCTCTGTGGGGAGATGCTGACGGCAGCGGTGAGTAGGGCATTTCCAGGGCTTCTGCACTGGAGGTGTGGAAGGGAAGTAGGGAGGGGATGTTTGTAGCTGGAGGGAGCAGCCAGGCATCCTCCCCGCGCTGGAGCACAGAAGGCTTCACTCCTCTGACAGCAGCTTCTGACAGGGATGAAGGACAAGGGGATGCTTCTGCTGCTGTTCTTGCTTCAGAGCTGGTCTCTGCCATCTGTTTGGTGTTAAACAGGCAGGATGCAGACAAGGAAAAGGATTAGACGGTCTTGGCTTTGAGACAGGATGGTCCTGCAAGCAACCAAAGGGCCCGTTGTGAGCTGCCAGGAGGACTGTCTGCATGAGTCGCTCCCTGCGGGGCTCAGGTTAATGGTGCATGGGTTGTGAGCAGAAGGCATGCACCGCAAGCCCTCGCTGCCACCTCATAGAAAGAAGTTTTCCCATCAGCTCCCACTAAACACCAGTGATCAGAGCTGTCAGGGAACAGCTAGAATGGGGTTACACCTGTGTTTCTGTAGTGGTGCAAAAGATTAAGTGTTGGCTTTGTTTTTGCGTGTTCTTGCTCAAGCCCTGTGATAGCTGAAGGACACAGCTGTGGTGGTAGTTGGCCTTCTGGCAGGTTTTTGATGAAAGGCAGCTTTTGAGCGCTAAGAAGCTGTCTTACCTTTAATGCATCAGAAATTGTAAGATTTTACATTACTGTTCAATCCTGTGTCCGTACAAAGCTATTGGGCAAAATGTTGCAGGATGTAATGAAGTTGTTTGGTAGCATCTGTATACAAACACAGGCATTCATCTCTCTGGACTAACATTGTAAGATACGGTTTCAAACCAAAATAATTACTGAGCACATCCCAGAGCAAAGACACAATTGTGCTTGTATCAAGGTGCTTATAATGATGCATTTTACTCTTCTGAATTACTGATCTAGTTATTAGCAACCTATTTCTGTTACAGCTTGGGGCATATTAGCAGCAGTGTTTGTCTGTGGCTTGCCAAGTCACTTCCTTTGGTGTTTATTAATCTCCTGGTAGTTTGCCAGGTAAATCTCAGTGCCAAGATCAGTTTCTTATGTGATCAGGAAGTGAAACATGAGGATGCTCTCAGGACTTCCCCGGCCATCTCCCCTCAGCACGCTAACAGGAATGTGGCGATTGTCTTGTGCTTTAGAGATGAAATTTTCAGAGGCACATAGAGCTCAATCTCGTACAGGAATCACTGGGGTTCCCTTTGAACATCTGACATTTTTCCTCTTCATATTCTTCCTTCAAGCTCAAATAATCAAACATCTTTTTTACAAGGAACTACCCAGTTACTGATCATTGTCCTCCTAGGAAAATCTGATTATCTGATGGTATTTACTCCCTGTCACTTCCCTGTGTGTTTATTAGTGTCAGTATTTCGTTGCCCCCTGAATAATTAGCGTGGAATAAAGTATTGACCTTGCTTCAGTGGGCCACATTTGCCATCATACCCTGTGAAATGACCTATGAGCGCTTCTGCAGTAGCACAGTGGCAAATGTCAGGTTAAATGTAGTTACTGTTTGGACTTTCAGATTCTTTTTACTTGGTTTGGAAAGAAGGGAGGAGTCTTTCAAGCTAATTTCAGGTGGGGTAATTTTCAAGTTGTGGCTCTGTTTCAGTGAGAAGAAGCTCCTGGGAGACATCCTGAATCCTCCTGCAAGCAAGATATGAGGGGTTTGGGTGCTTATGTTTCATTTTGATTTCAAATTGTTGAAATAGTTTTTTGATTAATATTAGGTGCAACGAAGCTTTTTGGCATTATGCACTTGTACAAATACACCTGCATGGGACTGACTTTCTAACAGCTACCAGAAAGTAGCATCTTTATACGGTACCTTAATTGTTACATGGGTTTAAAAATATATTTTTACTTCTTTGTTTTGGAAAGGAAACTTTCACATAACACAGTCACTGGTTTGCTTACTCTCCCCACTTTCCCCGTACCCCTTTTGGAAGTGGTAGAGGTAAGATTCCTCTCTGTCAGAGGCACCTGCACGCTTTGCTAAGTTCCTGTGTCTTTCAGGTGGGCGAATGAGTATGGCTGTAACACCAGCTTCATGTCTTCTGTGTCCGGTTTTAGGGGGTGGGGGGGAAGAGGCTGTATCTCAGCATGCTTTTCTCAGCGCCACAGCTTAGTTCTTAAGTAAACTTGATGTATGCCTACAAGTTAACACAATTTTACAGAATTTTTTACAGTTCTTGCAAGTTACATTGAAAGACTGTTATTTGTATGCCACCCATGTATGAGAAGGTGCTTGTAGATATTTGTCAACCTTGAAGACTGTACCTTGGAATTTTTCAGTAAGATAATTTAGGTTTTTAATACATGAAGGAAACACTTTCTTTAGTATTAGACATTGTAAATAATTTACAGGCTTTGTTCAATTCTAAAACATGGCAGCATGGATGGTAAATTTTACAGGTGTTCTTTTCATAGGCATGTATTTTTGTTCCTTCCACTGTGAGTACATGTTTCTTGCTTGTATTCTTTCAGAAATGATCTTCGCAGTGAGACAGTAAATTTGGGGTAGAATTTCTTAAAAGAAAACAAAGCTCTGGACCTGTGGCTTACCAAGTACAGTCTTGCAGAACATTTTTTTGCAAGACATTCATACCCCTGCCTGGTTTTGGTGCTTCATGAAAAGCAGCTGTCACTGAGATTGTTCATGCTTTTGCGAGTTTGGTGGGTTTTGCTGCTTCTTAAAACACTTCATCTCTCCGGCAGTGAAAAGCAACAGGGGGGCTGCTCAGCCATAGGTGGGCATGCCAGGGCTAGGCACTTCAAAGGCCTGGCTGCAAAGGGTTGTACACAGCTTCAGAAATATCTTTCCTGGGTGCTTTTGACAACTTCCAGCAGAATTACCATCTTGTCTGTGGAAGCACAGAAATTACACATTTCAAAATTATCTGCTCCCGTTAACATGTCTTATTGTCTTCCAGTCCTTCTGATCAGCCTAACACCGCAATATAGAAAATGTGGGTTAGCTTGCTCTCCAGTACTATGAGCAATCTGTGCTCTGGCAGCAGCTGCCCATTAGAAATGTCTGCCAGAGAACTGAAATTGCCCTTCTTCATTTGTCCTTCCATGCCTCCTATTCTCTCATTTCCCCTCTTTTTTATCTCTCTTATTAAAAAGAAATATATATTTTAAATTACTTAAGGGCAGCGCACACTAAAATAAACGTTTTAGATGTTGCTGTTTTTGCCATTTGCTGTTGGCTGCGTTTCTTCTGCTGGCAGCGTGGACGCTGAAGCCCTGTGTTGCAAGGGTCTGGGGGAGAGAGCTGCTGGGAACGGAGGGAGACGGCTCCTGAGAGAGTGAAACAAAAAGGTGGCAGTGAAAGTGAAGCTACAGCTGAACGTACAGTTTATTGCTGTTGCTGGGGAATACTGTACGCCTGTTTCAAGACCGCTGCAAACCTGGCCAGACAAAATGGGTGGAAGGGCAGAAGGTGGGGAATGTCTGTATCCGATTATGAATTGGAGGAAATGACTGTCTGTGCTCTGCGCGCTGGTGGGCTCGGAGCACGCCGCCGGCAGGCTGCTTAGCGTTGTAGGGTACCGAACAAAAAGTGGTGAATCGTCAGCTTTTGTGTTTAAAATAACTACCAGGCTTACAAGAAGTTGTTCCTTAAAAATATGTTGTGGGTTTTCTGTTGGCTTTCTTAAACTAACTGGAAACTTTCTGCTTTTTTTCAGGAACGTTTTTTCTCTGAAAACATTGCTGCTAAAAAGCTCCAAACAGGAGAAGTAAATCCAGTCAGCTTGTCAGGTCACTGGCTCAGTGTAAAAGTGCTTTCATGAGGTAACGTTGGGCCAAAGTCAACTTTTCTTTCTCCTTTGTAAATCTGCAGCCAAGCAATGGGCCAGAAAATCTCAGGGAGCATAAAGTCTGTGGATGTGAGGGAGCCCCCTTATAGACCTGTTAAACGAGAGCTGAGAGGCCCGGATTTTTGCAAGCCCGCGCGGCTGGACATGTTGTTGGATATGCCCCCTGCCAAGCTGGAGGTCCAGTACAAACACGCTTGGAACAATGAAGATCGCTCTTTAAATATATTTGTAAAGGAGGACGATAAACTGACTTTTCACAGACACCCAGTGGCCCAAAGCACAGATTGCATCCGGGGCAAAGTCGGCTACACGAGAGGCCTCCACGTCTGGCAGATCCACTGGCCCACGAGGCAGCGGGGCACTCACGCTGTGGTGGGCGTCTCCACGGCCGAAGCTCCGCTGCACTCGGTGGGGTACACGTCGTTGGTCGGTAGCAATAGTGAATCGTGGGGCTGGGATTTGGGACGCAACAAACTCTATCACAACTGTAAAAACCAGCCTGGGGTCACGTATCCGGTCTTTTTGGAACCAGACGAGTCTTTTGTACTCCCAGATTCCTTACTGGTGGTGTTGGATATGGACGAAGGGACGCTCAGCTTCATGGTAGATGGACAGTATCTTGGAGTGGCCTTCAGAGGACTAAAAGGGAAAAAACTTTACCCCATAGTCAGTGCAGTTTGGGGGCACTGTGAAATTACAATGAGATACATCAACGGACTTGACCGTAAGTGTTAACGCGTTTCTTCATTGCGTTGTCTCTCAACTCTTCTCATGTAGGATTTATTTTCTTTATCTGTTCATTGTGAACCGAGTGTACTGGAGGAGGACTCTCCACCGTGAGTAAATTGCAACCTGTAGTTACTGCACACAGCTAACAACGGTATGGATTGTATCAAAATATTTTCTGTTGTGAGAATTTTCTGTTTCAGCGAGCAGAGTGGCAGGAAATCTGTGTCTAAAGAAAGTGAACAGACTGAGGGGAAAAAAAAATCTTGAGAAACTTCCAGGGTATATTTAACAGTAAAACTCTCGTTTACTTGAGGATGTGTTTTAAATCTATGGTTTTCAAATAGGATTTGTGAATCCTATAAAACTTTATGGTGGTATTGGGAACTCTTGCATGGTGTGTGCAAACAGGCTTGAATTCAGACCAGTGGGCTTGCTTGTCTGCAGGACCCTCAGAAGCAGTGGTGGATCCTCAAGAATCTGGGAACTCAGGTCAGATACTGTTTTCAGCAGTTTTTCTGAAATTGAGCCCTTCTCCTTGGTTCATTTCAGAAGGTGCTGTTCTTCAGAAACACGGTTCATTGGATAAGCTTTAGCTATTTTTGATATAAAGGGACAAATCAAATGCCTTTGGTAGTAAGGAGCAGCATGTTGCTGCTGTGTCTCTAAAGTAGCCCACCAGAAGATGCTCTGCGGAACTGGGTTTTGTGCAGCTCTTCTCAGTGTTTGGGAAGGAGTGTGCTCTGCCAGAGCCACTTCTGCAGCACAGCACACGTTGGGCTGTGCCCAGCTGCCCACACGCAGCTTCTCTGCTGCTGGGCACTGCGGGCGGCACTGGCTGAACGAGGTAGCAGGGAGTGGGACCTTGTCAATGCTTTGTTATCTGATCCACAGGATGAACTGGGAATGGAAATACAGAGATTTAGCAAAAGCACATGGCTGGACTAAACTTTCTTTGGTTTTTGGACTTCATGAATGGAACTTGTTTGTATAAAAAGGGACTAATAGCAAGTGTGCAACACCTCTGCCTTTCAGTTAGTGATAGTTAAAGGAATTTACAATTCTTTTCAATTAGGTTGGGATGGTCTATTTTTTTCCCCATCAAATTAATTCTCTGCTCATTAGCCTCGCGTCTGACATACAAAGTAGAAACATAATTAAAGAACTTGACCCTGTTTAAGATTGCTTTTTCATAAGCATCTGTAATAGGCACTGGGGGGAAGAGTCTTTATCCACAGAAGCCCTGCAGGTTATTAGAGCCAAATGCTAAATAGCTTCCTGAGTGCTTTCATACAAGGGAATATCAGAGGATCGTAAGTATTTTGCAATCACTCAGACGTTGCAGAGTTGTGTGCTGACTGCTTGCTACAGACTTTTTTTGGAGGCTGGTGGGGGAGGGATGCTTTTGCAAACTGGGTATTTGTGTGCGAAAGCAGTTTTCATAATGCTGGGAATATCTGCCAAGCTAAGCAAAGTACTGCTCGGCTCGCTCCACCACGTCCTCAAAGGGAGGCGTTCTGCCTTCCTGCTGTACCCTCTGCAGGGCTGCTCGAGGGAGCCCCAGGAAGATGAAAAGAAGGGACGAGGATGTGAATGAGTTTGGTAGGAATTATAAAATAAAAGGAGCTAAGTGGGGAAGCATAGCTGTGGTCTGTGAGACGGCTGAGAGAAAAATTCCCATCCGGTCTCTTGTGGGATAGTTTTGCTGGAAAAGGCAGGATGGCTTCCTTAGATGATCCCAGAGGAAGGCAGAACAGTCGTGCTCAGGCATGAACCCATGGCTAGGAGTAAACTTGTAAACCAAGCTTTTATGTCGGCCTGAATGCTGACCTGATCATGTGAAGAGGAAGTGTAAAGGCACTTTGCCGTGAGGCACTTTGACATCCTGGAGTCACGTCATTTGTTATCACATGGTCACTGATCCCTTGCTGTCCTGCAACAAAAACAGCATTCAGTAAAGCAGAGCAGCTTGTCTCGCTGGTGCCCTGAAACAAACACCTTCTCTTCTCCGCCAAAAGCCTTTCTATCCAGCCCAGCATATGTGTGCTTGGAGGTTGTTGGTGGTGCTGCTTGCCCACTTCTTAACCTTACAGATCCTCAATTTGTCCTGCAAGTATCTCATGCTGCTGATTGCTGCTTTTGGTAGATCTGGCAGTCGCAAGTTAGTTGTTCCTGAAATTGTGCTGTCCAACAGTGACCGTAGCTGGCTGTTTAATGACTGATTGACACTGCTCAGGGCTATCTGTGTGGTGTCTCACAGAGCACATGGACACCTCGGCTGCGGGGATTTCAAGCGTTTTCAGTGCTTACTAATTAAACAGAAGACCTCTCAATACTTAAAGGCCTCAAGGTTAATTCTTAAAGGTTTTACAGGGTTGTAAACTTTGCATTTCACCTTGTTTTCAGAAAGCAATTCAGTGAAAATGTAAGAGATGCTCTGTTTATATGTATTTTAGACTACAGAAGTCCAGAATACAGAATTGTCTCATACCTATTGTGTAATTTTGAAGATCTTGATGCAGCATATTCTGATGGCTGACTGGTAAATAGAAAACATACCTGAGATGCTGCTGCTTCTTGAGCAGAGTTTTTCAAAATATTTTATCTAAAGTAAAATACTTCTAATGACTCTAAATTGCTTTTTTTTTTTTTTCCTATTTAAAAAATTTATTATTTCTTTATTTTAGAAGCATAGCTGTAAGAAGTCCTGCATAGCATACCGTAGTGGTTCATAGGGTCTCTAGAGAGCTGGTGAGGAATTCTGCTTTTCTTTCTGAACAGTTTGCATGTGTCGGGTATAAGAAATTGTTCAGGAGGTGAGCGATATTACTTCTCCTTCAATAAACATGAAGTGAAAAGAGGTGTACCCAAATCTTATTCAGGATCTTCAGTTTTCAATTTGACCTTTATCCTGCTTTTCTGACAAATTTTGGAGGCAGCCTCCCTTTTTTTGTTAGCTGTCAAGAAGCATTGGTACCTTCTGAGTGGTGTATGTCACAGGTAGAACAGTATTTTTGTATCTGTATGCAACCATTTCTGTGGTAACTTAAATGGGTATCAGATCATATTTTTGTTTATTTTGACTGTCAGTACTGCTCCTGTGTGCTAAAACTGCTACTTTCATAAAGAGCATGCCTAACTAAAGGACTGAACATTGGTTTTTTTTGTTTATTTGTTTGTTCTAATGAGGAGTGGACAAGTAGAAGTCTATTATAGCCTGAACGTCTGTAATGTACCTGTTTCTGTGCAGAAACACACTTCCTAAGGAGTCTTACGGGTCTGTGGGGAATCGTCCGAGCCTAAAATAGATTCAGGAGTGGCTTAGTGTTGCAATGAACTCCTTTCTTCAGGCAGTTTTGGGGTGTAGAAGGAAGTGTTGGTTTTGTTTTTAGGAAGTTGTGAGCCTGGAGCTGCAGTAAGGAGGCTGCCCCAGGGTGGTCGTTGATGTTGGCAGCGGCAGTGAGGTGGCCCTGGGACAGAGATGGCTGTGATGCACGGGTAGGGAACAGTGAACAGCAGATTGAGAATGGGTTAGGGGGTGGTGGAAAACTAAGAGAGCTGCTGTTTGTGTGGCAGGGGTGGTTGGGCGGCTGTAAAACACAGAAGGGAAAGCAGAGAAGAGGAGAGGGTTAAGTGCTACGGAGCTAAGTGGTAATTTTTGTGTGCTTGGGGATTGTCTCCTTGATAGTTCCAGCAGTGAAGAATGAGGTCCTGCTGTTTTTTTTTAAATCTTCTCAAGACTGACGTTCAAGCCAAGAGTTGCACTTGATATGAAACAATAATATTTGAAAGTCCATCTGAGTTACTGATGGGTTTGAACGATATGTGTCATTTAAAAAAGCAACTTTAAAAGTTCTTATTTAAAGCCTTCCACAAGCTTTAGAAGCTACTTTGAGCATCACGTGGAGGCAAGCAGTGACCTTCACGAGACAGTCTGTTTGGGAGACCCGGAGCTGCAAATGTGTGTCAGGGTTTGGGAGGGAAGGGAGCAGGGCAGGATGGAGAGCGCTCGGTATAACCAGGTTCAGTTCTTCCCTGATCTTTTATCATCTTTTAGCAAATGCTATCAGTATTTATCATGCTGGTGTTTTCTCAGTATCAGTTTTATATCAGATTTCTGACTCATTGCTTATTGCTCTAATAAAAAAAGAAGCACAAATGCACAGCAAAGGCAGTCTATGTTGTTTTTCAGATGCTTTTTTCATCAGGGTATGTGTGTGGTTAAAAACCAGCTAGGCTATTTATGTCTGTTGTCTGATGAGGAATCCTGAAGACTATTTATAGCCTGGAACCCAGAAATAGAGAAATGCTTTGTGCACTGCTGATCGTGGCCGATACGTTGATACTTGTGTGTTTCATCAGTGGTGGGAGGACAACTGAACAGTGCTGTGCTGGGAAACCTGCTCATTGAGGAAATGAATTGAGCATGGTGGTTTGTTCTGATCCTTAAAACTACCCAACAGAGCAGTGTTTGTTACAGGTCTGGCCGTGCCCTGCTCTGTGCTGGTGCGGAGGAACACGCAGAACACAGCCCGTCTGCACTGACAATGCAGGAGCCACGCACACGGAATTGAATTATGTGACTAATAGGTACAAAATTGAGAACTGAATGTCTTCCTAGGCAGAGCGGATGCAGAGAGGCTGCAGGAAGGTTTTCCAGCCATAGCTGCGCAATGCAGAACTGGTGGAAGCAAAACTGTGTGATCCCTGGGGCTGAGAGCCGGCAGGGTGGGTGGGGGAGCAGCTCTGTGTGTCCACGGCAGCACAGCGTGCCCGTGGATGCCGTGGAGAAACAGCTGTGGATGTGCATGAGTGCTGGCCTTCTGGCCACATCTCAAAAGACCTCCTGGTGTCACTTTCAGATTTCTTCTTCCTGCAGAGCGCTCTTACCCTGGCTGCATGGTGCAGGCTGCTGCGGCTGCTGCTTTGGAGGGTGCTCGCTGCTTGGGATATGCCGTGGGATGTGTCCTAATTAGAGGCACTTTCTCCATGTGATCC